ACACATATTCACCTCTATTGAGATGCAGTCCTTCGGAAGGCACCAGAGTGGGGCATGGAGGTCCATATACAGCAAGGACTTTAGCAATATAATCCTTCCCTTAACCCCTGTACAGGTAGTACCCAGGTTAAGTACACTGGGTTTAAGGATGACCCATTGTTAAGAACAGAGCCTACTGTAGCAAAATTTAAGTTAAATACATAATGATTCAAATTAGATACACGATGGTTCAAGTTCGTTACACAATACTACTTATACAGTATTACACAATAATACTGTTCCGACTTATGTACACATTCGATTTAAGGACAGACCTTGGGAACGGAACTTGTTCTTTAACTGGGAACTATCCCTAACATCAATAAGCTATTCCTGTAGGAACTCCACAACCTGGCCATGGTTCTATCCACAGATGATGATGATAAATTGAACTTCTACGCCACCCAACTCCCAGCATCCTAGGGGATGGGCTGGTCTAACAGAGAATATAAACCTTGACTAAAGTCAGCCACAGACTTTCAAAGGATCTGAGTGTGGATCTCTCCATCCCACTTTTCTTGCCAATTTAAAAAAAAAGTCAAGATTGCAGCATCCCCCCCCCCCCCCCGGACTTGAAGTCACTACGCAGACCCAGCGAAGCAGGCACGGCTGCAATGCAGAAGCCCAGAACCTGGAGACGGACACACCTTGCAGGCGCACCAAAACCCATGCTTCCCAGCCAGAAGCGGAATGCCGGTGGGGACAGCGGGCGCCTCCCAGGCGTGCCGGGACGGCAGCTCCCTTGGTTCCCAGCCAGCAAGGCCCACATGCCCTCCTCCAGATCTGCCGGGAGGGCTGGGGACCAGGGGAGTTGTAGTCCCAGGACACCCGGAGGGTCGGACGGCTGGCTCAGGCCGTTGGGGCGTCCCTTTCGGACCGGAGGGAGGTGGCCAAGCAGGACCTGCTCCGCCACAGCCCTCACCTTGCCTTCCCACGCGTCCGCCGTCCGGTCCCACCGGCTTTCCGCCCCCACGCCCCCCACACAACGCGGGCTGCCCCCCCCCCTGCCCGCCCCCCCCCCCCCCCGCCCCCCCCCCCCCCCGCCCCCCCCCCCCCCCGCCCCCCCCCCCCCCCGCCCCCCCCCCCCCCCGCCCCCCCCCCCCCCCGCCCCCCCCCCCCCCCGCCCCCCCCCCCCCCCGCCCCCCCCCCCCCCCGCCCCCGCCCGCGACCCCCCAGAGACATCGGGGTCTTCGCCCGCGGCTGCTCCACCGCTCCCGCCCCGCCGGCCAGGCCTCGCCCGCTCCTGCAGCCCCGCCCCCAAGCAGCCCGCGCGCGCCCCCATTGGCGGTTGGTCTCTAGGGGCGCGGCCGCATGATGGAAATGTCGCCGCCGCGCGGAAGGCAGGTTCTGCTCCGCGCTCGCTTGATTGGCTACTCGAGGGGCTACGTCGCCATATGCCTCGGGCTTCTGGGCAATGTAGTTTCAGAGAGGCTTTTTGGTGGGGCACAGGGACTAGGATGGAGGAGCCTCATCTGGGCTGCGCCCCCTCTTTTTCTCCCTGCTGGAATCGGGTGATGGGAGTTGTAGGCTGGGGAGGATGGGTTACAGCTATTACCAAAGGCTTAACCGCAGGCTATTGGCTTGGAACAAATTTTAAAGAGAAATCGTTTGAGAGGAGGGCTAGTTTCTTCTTTGTAAGTAGAGGAACGCTGTCCTCATCCCGTCCATGTTTTAAAACTGTGTTTTCAGATATTTTTCCTGTTTTTAAGAACAGTTTTTATTATTGAAGAGAGTTTCAAATTATTGCACGCCCACCCTGGAAATCTGTACCCGTAAAAAATGGGCTGGATGAATGTTGCTCTTTTGTTCATGTCAACAGCCTTTCTCATGGTGATTCCTCTGTAAAAGCTGTATAGCGCTGGGCTTCCTTAAGATATTATGAAGTCCAGCCAATCCTAAAAGGAGTAGCTTTTGTGGCTTCCGTTCAGATTATCAGTAGATGGGCAGCACCCTTTATCTACAATGTTTGGGGTGCATTTCAGAACACACACAAGTTGGAGCAAGGCGGGAGGGGCATTGCAAGAAGTAATATGCAAAGGAAATAGGAACAGGGAATACAAAAGAACAGTGAGAGCTAGGAAAGGATTCGGTGTGCCTGTTGGAAACACTGAGATTTTAGAAAGTGGTTTTCTACAAAACAGCCACTCTTGTTTAAAACCATCTATGAAAATGTCTTCGGTGACTGTGGCACCTCTAAGCTCCTGAGTCCTGCCTGAAGTATTACAGAAGGATGTTCTCTGTGCTGGGCCCCTGTTCTGACATGCTTGGGAGGTGGGTCGGTGGCTCCACCCCAGCTATGCATCTGTTCTTGCTGGAGAAGAGTATGGATACCCTTTATTGATGCTTTCTTCCGTATCTGGGAGGGTTGAGAAAGGAATGGAAGGGAGAATAGATAGAAACAATGAAGAGATAGAAGGCAAGCCCATTGGCAGCTTAGCTCATACATTGAAACTTAGTCCAGGTATTGAGAAACCTGGGAAGAAGTGTTTCAAATCGTTCAAAAATATGCCACCTTAATGAACTCACTGTCATAGGGGTAGGAAATTCCTCTTATAGTTTTCAAAATTCTATACTTATGCCCACAATTCTATATTTACGCCCAGATCAGCATCAAACTCCATTGGATTGGGCAGCCAATACAGAGGGAGAGAAGTTTGGAAACTGTAAGAGGAATTTCCTACCCCTATGACGGTGAGTTCATTAAGGTGGCCATCTGCTGGTCTATGACCGAAATAAAATTGATTGATTCATTCATTAAGGTGGCATATTTTTGAACGATTTGAAACGCTTCTTCCCAGGTTTCTCAACACCTGGACTAAGTTTCAATTTATGAGCTAAGCTGGATATAATTATATAAATAAATAAATTATTTATAAATAAATAAATAAATGGCATGTTATTGAAGTCAGTATAATTCTTGCCCAGCTATGTGGGGCTTGACCATATCTGAAGAAATAAAATGAGACTGTGAGGCGGGGTTGTCCTCTGGGCCTGAACAGAAATCTCTGGATGCATATACCCTAAATGTAGTGCTCCCAAAAAAGGCCCTTTTTCTTACATGGAACCTAATTGCAACTTCTCCCACCAATTCTTTTTTATCAGGGTGCCTTTTAGAACAAGTTTGTTCATTGTTTAAACTCCATAGTCATTATAATGTGTTAGGAACATAATGGAAGTTCACACACCTACACATACACATACTTTGAGGTCATCTGCAGAGGACAGACTATTTTTCAAATACTCTTGAAGAGCTAAATGCAGTAATGCTGCAGGAAGCTGCTGCTTCTCACGTTGTCTGGAAACTGGGGGAGGGACTAGGCATGGCAATAACAATACTGTATGTGCTTTGAGAGGCTACTGAGCTGAAGGCTGCAGGAGAAGCGGACTAGGCTGGCTAAGGATGGACCCAGTGCTTCACCTCCTGGTTTTTGAACTTCTACCAACTGGCTACCCAACTCGGGGCATCTTTTTGAAAAACAGTTCCAAGGATCTGCATTTACACTGATTTTTAAGGGCAGCTTTAGCGACTCTGCACCCACTGTGCTCCAGAAAAGGATCATCAGCATGGGAAGTGTTAGCTTTGGAGTAATTCTTGCTATTCTGGCTTCACTCATTATGCTCATCAATTGTGCTGTGGTTATTGCACTGGTGCGGCTGATCTGGAAGGACCGTTGCCGTGGTCTGTGCTTTGTTTTAAACCTCGCTATCTCTGACTCCTTGGTGGGCTTTACCATCACAGGTCTGGTTACGGAAGAGCTGTCTGGTCCTGAGCACCAGACTCCCCAGCAGTACTGTGTCTTGCGAATGGCTTGCATCACCTGTCCCTCAGCCGCCTCCATCTTCACCGTGATTCTGGTCACCTTTGACCGATACTTGGCTATTAAGCATCCTTTCCGTTACTTCAAAATCATGGGCGGCCCAGTTGTTGGGATTTGCATTGGAGGGCCCTGGGTGCTGGCCTGCTTGATTGGTTTCCTCCCTATGATGGTTCATGGCTTCCAGCAGAAGAGCTACCAAGGTCAGTGCACCTTCTTTGGAGTGTTTCAGCCCACGTACACGCTCATGGTCTTCTGCGTCAGCTTCTTCCCGGCTTTCTTTATCTTCCTCTACTTCCATTGCTACTTGCTCAAGATTGCTTCTTTGCACATCCAGCACATCCGAGAACTGGAACCCGTTGGCCTGCCAGCGACCTGCCCAGCCTCTCACCCTTCCAACGATACCAAGGCCCTGCGTACGGTGGGCATCCTAGTTGGTTGCTTTGCCCTCCTCTGGTCCCCCTTCTTTGTTGTGAGCATTGTCCAGGTTGCCTGCCAGCGCTGTTACCTGCATCGCCTCCTTGAACACTATCTCTGGGTGCTGGGTGTGTGCAACTCTCTAGCAAATCCCCTCATCTATGGATATTGGCAGAAGGAGGTTCGCCTGGAGATCTATCAGATGTGTTTGTGCCTGAAGAGAAAAATCTTTCCTCTTGTCCACTTCGACAGCCACCCTGGTACTGGTCCCACCCAGTCTGGGGGACCACTATATTTCATCTCAGTAGCCCAGCTGAAGGAGTGATGTTAGTAAAAAAAAAAATGCCTCCCTGGGCACATTTCCTGGTAAGGTTCTTCTCTTGTGTCTTTCACCAGGTCTGACACCCAGAAGCAAAGTTATTCCATGGTAAGAGGGTGGGGAAATCAGGTTTGCTGATCTTTTTTCCTTAGCAGTAAGAAGTTCAGGGCCACTTTGACCACGTATATCACAACATACAAAGCTATTTATTTATTTATTTGATTTATACTCTGCTTTTTTTTACTCAAGGCAACTAATAAAAAAATAATACTAATATTAAAATCAACTAGCACTCAAAAGTTATGTTGTTGTGGATTTTCTAAATGTTGGGGGGGGGTTCAGTCCAACTCTCAATGGAGTATCTTCCTGCCTGCCAGAAAAATGCTTAATGGGGCGTAAAACTAAAATTGCTGAATTCTTAACATGATTGCACATGCTACAAGAAACGAGGGGGTTACTGCTAGCCCCAAAATACTACCTTTCCCACCCTTCCTGACATCCTCTCCCCAACCCAATTCAAGCAGTTGTTTTCAGATCCTCGTTTTCTCACACACATTGTCTGGATTCATCCAATGTGCATTAACCCCTAAACTCAGTCAAACAAAACAAATTGTGGTGTTCATATCATATGTGGTCCAAATAGGTAAACAATATTTTGGCTAAATATGATCGCCTGATTTATAATGAATGGGTTCCCACCGTACACTGATCTACCAACTTTTAGCCAGGCTTAACGTGTTGTGCCATTCACATTGTGCTAAGCTCTCTCTCTCACTCTCCCTCCCTCTGTGTACATTATTGGTTTTAGCTTAGCAGTTTTGTGGGAATGCAGCCACTTGTGGTTCAATCGATAAACCATACTTAAGCAAACAGAGGCATACTGTAAAAATGAGTCCAGCCTCTTATTCTTTCTTTAGATACACACAGTTTCAGATTCTAGCTGGGTATGCTTGTTTGAACTCTACCCTAAGGTCCCTGAACAGTTCCTTCTCTTTAGCAATTAACTCCCATTAATATCCATTAACCCTCAATGTCTTCATTTTCCCCAGACTGAGCAATATGTTCTAAACTTTGTGAAAGTTCCCTGCTTGGAATTATACTTGATTAGTGTAAGCGTGTTCATTATGAAAGAAAACGAAGGCAGGGCTATGTTTTGGATAGCTTCCAAGGCCAGTGGTGGAGCAAAACTGCCTCCTTGAGCCTCCTTGATCTTCTTTCTTGCCGTTACTTTACCTATTCTATCCAAGCTTGTGCAAACAGTGACACAGAAAGCAGGATGAGAAGCAGCCTTCACAGCTTTGCTTTCTTTCTAAACTTTGATAAGGATTACACTAAGCTGGAAAGGGAGATGGTGGCAGTACCAAGAGACTCCCAAAATCTGGAGCCAGCACTGGAAGAGAATCAAGAACCTAAGTCCTAAAGAAGCTCCCATTTTGGATCATCCACATATGTTTGGATAGAACTTGGGGGTATATATGCATTTATTGGCTCATGGGTTGTGGCAGAAGAGAAACAGCAGCTTATGAGGATCAGACCTAGATTCCCTAGTTGACATGATCTCCAGCCAGGAGACAAAGAATGGAAATGCAGCTTTACTTATGAGCTTTATGGAAGACTTTGCTGCATGAAGGAGAAAGAAAACTAAACAAAGCACCATTGTACTTTGATGCAAGTGCTGGGTGGGTGAGATAGGAACCTTGTTTCCCAATGGTGCCCATCATCCAGATTCCAACACTAAAAAATATGCAAAGCCCAAGATAGCTTGGAATTATCTACCTTGTGCATATTATTCTCCAGTTCCACTAACTGTGTACCATGACTGATGATGGCTGTTTTTTCTTCATGAGTTGAGCCTTACCCAAGGGCTTGATAATCGTAAAGGTAGTATCTAGTTGTGTATAAGGTACTCGACCAGACTGTTGTTTGTAGCTGGGATGTCATACCTTCTTCCAAATTTAGGCAATCCAAATTCTTTCTAAGTCCTTGTGTTATTGTACCTAGTGTTCCAGTGGCAATTGGTATCCTTGTTGACTCCTTCTTCCAATTTTTTGTGACCTCTCTTTACAAGTCTGTATTTTGTCATCTTTTCCAAGTTTTTGTCTTCAACTTACTTTCTCTTGGAATATCTTTTCAGTGGCAGTTCAGGAACATCAAACAGTTCTTTTCAGTGACAGTAATGTCTGGTGTGATGTTCCAGAGTTCAATATGTCTGAATTCTAAAATCTCCTATTTTTCTGCGTGCTGAGATAGAAGCTCCTCATGGCTCAGATCAGGTTGACAGGAGTTTCCTTTATGTTTTTTACTTCCAGGGCACTTATTAGCTGAAGCTTGTTCTTTCCAATGGGAAAGCTGGCTTCCACTGCTTCTTCTTTGGCCAATATGTGGGACCAAGTTGATCTGCCCTCTAAAGACCTTTCTGAGAGGCAGAGAATGTACCTCTTGGTCCCCTGGCTATATAATGATGCTCTGCGCAGCTTTTCAGCTCTTTATTGGCACTCAGGATAGCTTAGAGCAATAAAATACAAAACCAACCACATAAAAACAAGACAGTAAAACCTATCAATAATATAAATCAAACTTACAGTTAAAAATCAATTGCATCATGTTTACAACAGCCATAAGAAGTCCTCTTAACAGCAAAGAAGTCTGTTCTGCGTAGCCTTTCTTAAGAATGATTTAACTGAAAGGCAAGATCTAAATCTTACAAATAAATGATTAAATTGTATCTGCTTGATGCCCAGCCTGGTTGCAATCTCTAGGCAGATCACGTTGCAGAGAATTCTATAATGTAATGTAATGTTCACATTACAGTAAAAGTTGCATTGCGACAGTGTCACCTGCTCTGTTGGCAGCCTGCAGAATGCGCGCAACCTGTTCTCGAGGCTTTTCAGCAAAGATTTTGTCTTCATTCTGCAATCACTTTTAGAACCTCCAATTATCTGTCATGCAGATCCAGCTCTATGTGTTGCATAAATCCATGCCCTGCAGGAATCGTCCCCTGTTCAGGGTAGGGGGTTAGGTTCATTCCTCTGCCCCATTTGTCCTGGTATGTTTTCCAGCTGCAAAGATCGGGGTTGGGGATGGGGGGATGAGAACAAACATTTCCTTCCAGTGCGCAAATGCTATGTATGTATAAGCCTATGACTTGGCCCTGGCCCGCTTATACAGCAATCCCCAGGGTTTACCCTCAAGAGATTGAAATCAATTTATCTGATCCAAAGGACATTTGTTGATGTGATTGGTTCTAGACTGGGTTGCATGTGGATGCTTGTCCATGGCAGCAGCCTGTTGGATTTCACCCAGTATGCATGAAGTGACACAAGCTGAGAGCTCTCCGTCCTCATACATCACGGAACTTGCTTTCCTGAAGCCATTTTTATCCTGCCCTTTGTTTCCATCTCTCTCAGGTGGATTTCCAAATAAGACCAGGGAATAAGGATACAAGTGGAACTGGCCACAACATGCATGTGGGGATCTCATGCTGGCTTCCCAGATGCTCTTCTTCCCCTTACCATCAGCCAACAGCCCATGATCAAGCAGTGCACTCAGCGGCCTTTAAGCTCTTCCTCTCTCTGCAGTTTTTCTTTTTCCTATTTTTTCATCCTTATATAAACTTGGGGGTGATACCTCTAGGCATTCCCTAAAATGCCCAGAACCCTTGAGATTCCTGGATAAGTCACTGCATGAGCCCACTGAATGGATTTCCTCTAGTTCTTCTCCATCAGATTCAGAAGGAGCAGGAAGATTCCCTCCATATTCTGTCTTCTCTTGGGTGCCCCTACCAAATGAAGAAAGGAGTAAGCTTCAAGGGAGCACCTAGCTTATGGAATCCCTTCCCCAGAGAATTGTCCTTATTTTGACACCAAGCAAAGACAGTCCTCCTTGCTCAGGATTTCTATAAATTTGCTAACTTTTCCATCCTCTTTACTGATTGCATTTGCTTTGTTTTTAATGCATTTGTAGAAACATTTATAGTTTCAGAAATATATGTAGCCCTCCTAGAAAACTGGGTGGGTTGGAAAACAGGTACGTAAGCATCTATGTCATTCAAAGCCAGCACATCAAATGAGGAATACTTAGCTGTAGAATCCCGTTTGGAGAAAAAGGGGGTACTGCTAGCAACGCTTCATCTTCCCAGGATGTGGTTCAAGACCTAAGATCTGAACTGGAAATGCTAAAGGAAACTGAGCAGGGATTTCAGAGGTATAAAATATTTTGCCAAACCCTCTCCTGGCTCCTATTT